CAGCCGCAGCAGCAGCAGCAGCAGCAGCAGCAGCAGCTGGTGGTGATGGACTCTGTGGTCTCAACTACCTACGAATGCGTCAAAGCTTTGCTGCGCTTTGTTGCAACAGCAAAAGACTCTTCGGCCTTCCGCACAGTTTTGAAGAACTTGGGCCTCTGGCTGGGCAGCATCACCATCGCCAGGTACTGCTGCTGCTGTTGCTGCTGCTGTTCCCTGCTGCTGTGGCTCTATTGTTGCTGTTGCTGCTGCTGTCTTTTCATTGTTACTGCTGCTCCTTTACCGCTATTGTCTGTGCTGCTGCTGCTGCCTCATCATGACTGCTGTTGCTGCTGCTGCTGCACCGCTACAACTGCTGCTGCTGCAGCAGCAGCAGCAGCTGAAAGTTTTTTTTCCGTTGACTTGTGGGGCTGGCTTTTGCACCATTTGAACGGGAATTCTCGCGGCATTTCGAATTAGAATTAAAACTAGAACGAAATAAGGAAATGCAAAGAAAATAAACGAAAGAAAGAAGCAAATGGCGCGCTTTTGCAGGAACAAGCCGCTGCGGTCGAAGCACGTGGACCTGAAGAAGCTGCTGCTGTGTGCGTACACCTCGGGGCAGCTCGTGGCAGTGCTGCCTTTTGTTTGTCGAGTTTTGGAAAGTGTTTCCATTTCAAAAGTTTTCAAACTTCCAAATCCCTGGACTGCTGCTCTCGTCAACCTCCTCGCCGACTTCCACAGGCTCCCCCACCTCAGGTCTGCTGCTGCTGCGGTCGCGCTGCTGCTGCTGCTGCGGTCGCGCTGCTGCTGCTGCTGCGCGCGTCCTGCTGCTGCTGCTGGGGGTGTCGGTGGTGGTGGTGGGGCTGCTGTCCTTGCTGCTGCTGCTGAGGGGTGTCTTGTTACTGCTGCTGTTGCGTTTGCTGCTGCTGCTGAGGGGTGTCTTGTTGCTGTTAGTGCTGATGTTGCGTTTGCTGCTGCTGCTGATGAGTCCTTGCTGCTGCTGCTGCTGCTGCAGGACGAATTTGGTCTTTGACATCGAAGTGCTTTTTAAAAGGCTGGACATAAATGTGGCGGACTACGGCAGCAAAAGCAGCATAATTGCTGCTCTTCCTTTGCCTGTGGACAGCGCGGACTTC